CCCCAAAACCCCAAAACCCCGAGTGTTTTTAGAATGAGGGAGTAATTAAATGAATAATCAAATAATTATTAAAAATGAACGAAAAATCAATTCTCAAATCTATTCTTTGGATAAACAATACTCAAATTAAAGTACTATCTAAAATAGGAGAAGGTATGCAATAAAACTGTTCTCATATAGATATAGGTGCTTATGGCTATGTCTACAAGGTTCAAAGGGTATCAGACCAAAAATTATTAGCACTGAAGCTAATGAATCTTTAATTGGACAATTTTCCAGCTAAAAACGCAGTGATCTCTGAGATATCAACTCTTGTAACTAATTATTTAAATATGATCAATTAGAAAAAAATTTGTCCTCATCCAAACATTGTCAATATGATTGATCATCTGGATGCTAAAAAAGATTCGCAAACTAATATTATATACATTTTACTGGAATATTGCCCAGGTAATTGAAAAAAATTTGAGAGAAAAACACTGCAATTAAACACAATTTACTCATGATTTTATAGGTGGAAATTTGTTCAATCTGATAGAGGAAAGATCTAAAATTGGACTGAATGGGTTAAATGAGATTGAAATCTTAGACATAATGTCAGATCTTGTAAATGGTGTTATTCATTTGCATTTGTAGTAACCTCCTATTGCCCATAGGGATTTAAAAGTATATTATTATGCTCAATCATTTTTAGCTTGAAAATGTACTTAAAGGAAGTGATGGAAAATGGAAAATATGCGATTTTGGAAGTTCAACAACAAACACTTATAATGTTATCAACAACAATGTATTATTTGTTGCACGATTATTAAAATTTAGAATTGAGACATTATTCAAGAGGATATAGAAAAGAATTCCACTCCAATATATAGAGCACCCGAGTAGCTTGATCTTTATTCAGGTTATGCGATTGATGAGAAAGTTGACATCTGGGCAATGGGAAATATTATATATACGCTAATGTTCTTTAAATCTCCGTTTCAACCAGGCGAGAAGCTAGCTCAGATAAATGCTGTGTTTAAATTCCCTACAGATACTTACTTCAGCTAGGATTTATAAAATTTGATCAAATAAACACTCTCAAAGGACCCCAAAAAGAGAATAGGCATTGGTGAATTATGGAGCTGTGTAGATTTAATCAAGGAAAAATTATTAAAATAGCCAACTGGGATACCTCTAGTCGTAGGCTCAGCTGTGTAACCCGCAGTTGTAAAACCAATCCAAAATGAATCTGCCCGACAGGTTGAAGTTTAAGCAAGATAGAGGAATATACCAAAGTAGCATAGAATTGAGTCTTCATCGAAATTGTAGAGCTAAGATAAAGATAAGTCTATCAATATAGATCAGACTTTTAATATGAAAGATATGGTGCAAAAGATGATAAATCCGTAAGAATCAGCAGTTAATGAGAAAGATATGAGAATTTTAATAGAGCATCTTCACCAGAAGAATGATCAAGAAAATACATTTTACAGATTTTTAGCTGTCTCTGACTATAAGTCAATAACAGTAGTAGTCTTGAAAGCGACAATAGTAACTCATAGGCTATAACTATATTGCCCATTCATCACTCAGAAATCCTTGATAAGCTTGTATCAAAAGATCATTCAATCTTGGCAGGGCATTTTATAGAGCAAAGTAAAAAACGTTAATGACAAATTTAGATGTGAATACTTTGCTAAGCTCATACTATAGTATGCTGACTATCAATGTACTAAATCATAAATAGTGAGTGACTATTCAGACTTGATTGACGGGTCTTTTTCTTTAATTAAGTATTTCAACAAAAGCAATGATGCTAGAAGCCCATTGAATATAGATTTTATCACTAGATTAGATAAACTATGGACTAAAATGAATAATTTGTGCAACAAGCTTGTAAAAGATTAAAGATTTTTATGGGAACTAAGACTTAACATAATAACTAATTTGATAGAAGATCAGTATCTTTTACTTTGCCTTATCTCACATCTAATAGTCTCTATTAAGATAGTGTGCTAGAGATTTAATTAGCAGGTGCCACAAAACTTCGTAACTTTTATAGACCAGGCACAAAAGAATTATGACTAAAATCTAGAATAACTTAAAAGATTTTATCAGAAATTATCTAATTTCTAGGAGTTAGCTCACCTTAATGAAAAAATACCTAAAATTCCAAATAATCTATCATAAGATGTGAAGAATTCTACTAGGAACAGTAAATTTGAAGCAGACTAAAGGAGAAATCATTTTATCTTAACAGACCTGTTGAACACTTCTACATCAATAAATGGCTTATAGATACCGCTACCATTCTAGCTTTATAAGGAATATACTAAAAATTCACATGATTTCTATGAGCTTCTTATTGGCACCTAGAAGTATAGAAATAACATAGAGAAATTTTAGTAGTTCAACAGCAAGAGTAGTAATATATAGGTTAACAATAATATCATTGGAGGTAAATAGCAGTATCACAGCAATAGATCTTCATTTATAAGAAGGACCAGTAGTGCAAATAATCAAGGAGATAGAAGTTCTAAAACATCTTAAAATATGAATATGTTGAATAATGATAAGCATGGACCCTTTCATGAGGCGAATTGGAATAGTAGATAAGATTCTCAAGGCTTCAAACTTGATAACGATTTGCTGAGTGACTAGACAATATCCTACTTGCAGCAGAATATCTTTGGCTAGTTTAACTCTTAGAACTAAGGAGACGAATTACTTGAATTTGCCCAAATACCAGATAAATAAAATGAGCTCATTTAGTAATTGAATAGTCTCAATATTAATTAAGAGCAGCAAAATTTTGACTCTAATTAATTTGACATGAACTGGGCATAGCAAGTAAAACCTAATCAAAGCAAAAATACAATTTTGAGTCAAAATAGATCATAGCAAAGAGATAATGAATCATGGGCAATAATAGGTAATTAAAAAGTAGCACAAGAAAGCAAACTAAAAGCACTCAACTATCAGAGCCCTTCCAATAACTAAGAGTTTTTCCAAATCTAAAATTAAAACTAGTCCCCATAAAAGTAACAGTTTAATTTTTAGAATCAAAACTTGCCAAGCTCACTCTCAAATTTTCAAAGTAACAGTCGATAATAATAATAGCAAATCTTCGCTTACTAGTATAACTCACCTTAATAGTCAAGCACTCTTTACTATAATGAAGATAACTATAATTAAATGATTCAAGAATAGCAAAACATTGAGAAGTAGTATCAAGATTTGAGAATATAGTAAACAGCTGACTTGAAAAGACAATAAGATTTGATAGCCAAAATGAAGAATGACTAGGAAAAGGGAGACAAGATTTAGCAACAAGAGCATTAGCTTCTACAAATGAAATAATCATTCTCAAATGAGAAGAAAAAGTTGCTGAATCAGAGAAACCAGCTTGAAAAGGAGCTTCTAAATTTCCAAAAAGAGAGATAGCAATATGAGTCACAAAAGAAACAGGATATGGAAAAGTTAAGTGAGGCAAAGCTTTAGATATTGTAAGAAAAGAGATAAATAGAAGCAATGAAGAAAAAGTTTGAAGAAGATTCTCAATAACAGTAGAAGAAGCTATTTCAGATGCAGCAACAACAGACGGAGCAGGATATTCAAAATCAGATGAAATAAAATTAATTAATACAGGAAATGTAAAAGCTATAAGAAGAGAAGACAATTTTAAAGGCCTAACTACAAGAGGAACAAAAACTTACTAATTCTATTGGTAAAAAATAGAAGTTATCAAATGCTACTGATCAAAATAATGCAAATAATCCTGCAGGATTAATTTTAGAAGAGGAATTTTAAAAAGGCTAGGAATATTTCATGCTTAAGCTTGCTGATCTCAAAGTTGAGAAACAGATTGGTGCAGGTGCTAGCGCTGAGGTATTCAAGGGCACTTATAAGGAGACAGATGTTGCTATTAAAAAGTTAAGGAACATGATGGCATCTAATGATAACACATTGAAAGAGTTTAAGAGAGAAGTAAGTACTCTGACTAGAGTCAGACATCCAAATCTTGTATTATTCATGGGAGCTAGGTAAGTTTATTAATATGTAGATTTATCACTGATAGTGCTGAACGCGGGCATATTCTAATTGTAACTGAGTTTTGTTCAGGAGGCACATTATTTTAGCTTTTGCATGAAAAACTATCAGTCAAGCTGAATTGGAAGTAGAGATATTAAATGGCAATGGATATTGCAAAAGGCATGAATTTTCTGCATTCTTAGGAACCAAATATCTTGCATAGAGATTTGAAATCACTCAAGTATACAATATATTTATAATAATTGCAATGTAGTTTGCTATTGACTTAACCAATCGAAAGGGAAACTGATTATGTCTAGGTAAAGATTACTGATTTCGGATTGTCTAGAGATGACCACTCTGAATTGATGACAGGCCAAGCTGGGACTTTCCATTGGATGGCCCCAGAAACTCTAGAGAACAAACCTTATACTCATAAAGCAGATGTTTATTCCTTTGGAGTAATGATATATCTTAATTTTTATTTCAATATTTTAGATTGTGCTCTGGGAGATTATCTGTAGAGAGCCACCTTTCAAGTCTTATAATGCTCATGAGATTATTTACAAGGTTATTAACTATAAGGAAAGACCTTCTACTTCTTAAATCCCAAAGGATTGCCCTAGAGAATTGATAAATGTGATGATTAAATGCTGGGACCAGAATCCCCAAAACAGACCTGATTTTTCAGATATTGTTAAAGAACTAAAGAAGTTTCAAATCAGCAACTGATATTGCAATGATTATTCTAAATACTATTTTACTTTAAGATTTGATTATATTGCTGATTAAAATCTCTTTAATTTGAGTATTATGGGGTTTTGGGGTTTTGGGG